AATCATATATGAATTTCATTATTAATATATACTTACTGCTAATAGTTCAATGGAGATAAATGTGCACCTTACACACTTTTCATGTTAAGTACATGTATAAGTACATAGAACGTCATGCATTCGGTTACTTTATTTAAATATCATACAACCAAAATCTCAATATTTTAATTATTTCTCTTTCAAAACTGAAACTTCAAATAGTAAAGTTATAAAGAAATATGTTTATTTCTTTTATCATAAGAAATTTACATATGCTGCGATAAAGAACCTTGGACATTGAATAAATATTTAAAGAAAAAATTTTTGTGTATGTTTCCTCATCGAGTTTTTATGAAGTCATAAATAGTTTTTTAAATGGAAATATATATACTTTTAATGCTAGTAATAGAATAAAGTAAAAGCAAAATCAAGGATCCGATAAAATATTCGTATACCGCTGAATAAACTAAAACACAGAAATTACCGACGAAAAAAAAAAACAAAAGTTCTTTATCATTTCGCAAATTTGACAATGACTGCCTATCCTCGATATAGAAATAGCTAGTTTTAGTATTGAAATTTCAGCGTATGCTGTTCCAATAGCAGATGATGAAACATGATGATCAAAGTTACACACAGCTTTCATGGGTGAATTTACAGCATTGAGATGGTGGAAATTTGTTAAAAATTCGTGTCACAAAACTATTTATGACATTGCAGCAAAATTAATATTAATTTTGTTTTTATGGTTACTATAATGTAGTTACTATAGTATTATATTTGATGATGGGAGAAGTTTGAAAGGAACTTATATCACAAATTCACCATTTTTGCACAATAAATTGTACTTTTTGTAAAGGGCTAACCTTACACGAGTTCTATTCAACGAACAATTCGCGAACCCTGACTCCTATCTGTTATTAGTGATGCGTGTCACTTAAACGTACATATATATACTTATGTATATAAATCGGCAAAGTAAAGATGAAGCTTCTGACGTCTCGCCTCACAAAATGAGTGGAAAATAGGCGGACACACATACCCCACTATTTTTTGGTTCTACATTGCCGCTGCTTGTGAGACAGTGCGGTGTAAATAAATAGTTTAAACAAACGGTTTTCAATCAACTGTCGATAATAAAAGAACAGGAAACTTTAAAGATTACATCGATTACTGTTTGAAAAGTGTTGCGTGGCATTCACAGAACGTGAGAAACTCGACAATTAAAAACAATCGAGGACTGCAACCGCCGTCAACAAAACGAGAGTAAGCGAGATGGACGTAGTGCACAGCAAGATACAGACACAGACGAGTTACAGGATAGACCTAACACCTAAAGCATTTATTTGTCCACGTCAGGAGGGCCGATAGAGCCCTTACCATTTTCGTGTTACTCCCAATGTTACCGACTCAGCATAGAATAAGATTACAACATTACTAGTGGTTGGAATTAGAACTAAATCTAAATATGAAATTATAAATAAAGTATAGGACAAAATATCTTATAATCGTACACGAAGTGTAGAATTCTATACTTCTAATGTGTAATATTACATAAATACATTAGGTTGATCGGAAAATTCTATCGTTTTATTATATTATATTTATATTTATGTAAAGTTTCTCATTCTTGCAATTAAAATATTATGGCAATATGTTCGCAAGTTCATTGTACCGTGCTTTTATAGTCCATATTTTGACAATTAGAATGGGTATATATTTTAATTTTTTGTCATTTATCGAAATTTTTGAATAAAATTACAAATGTGCACGAGAAAACTGATGACAAAACTTTTTGATCAACCTAATACTTCTTCATTCTTGCAAGTTACTTTCACATGGGTGAACAGTTGATCGGGACGATAATTTTGAGCAGAAATTATTATGCTGTTAATTTTTTCTGATTTTGACATGTCCTAACCGCATAAAAAAATTATCATCTCCGAAACTATTAATAATTCTCTTATCCTTGTACTCGAGGAGAGATTTAACTTCGTAAATAACTATTTTTTAATACAAAAAGTATTATTTTTTAAGATGTGTTAATACTACTATGATTTATGTCGTTTTTGGACTCATTTTCATCGAGAGAATCTCATGAAAATTATAAAAAGGGAACTTTTCGTCATTGAATGATTCATTGTAACACGCACATTATCCCCTGCAAGTACCACGTCTCGCTTACTCTCGCAACATGTATTCATTTTCCTTGTCGATGGACCAATCAAAGATAACGTTATAATTACAAATTTTGGGTTAATAAATTCTAATACTACTAGATAAAATGTACGTCTCCTTTTTAATACTATTTTATATTTACATTACATTTTATTATTATGATGTATATCTAGTTTACAATATTACATTTTAGTAAATATTACAAGTTTGAAAATGTTCAGTAATCTTTCGTATAATATAATTCCTCTCTACAGGAGTTTTGTCTATTCATGAAAAATATGATCGATACGAAAATAGGTGTGCAGTATCCTACTGTTTTTTTCTCTATTAATCTTAAATAAATACTGTAGAATTATACAAGGATCATTGAAGGCATATAGACTTATATATACATGTCTCAGAAAGTAGGAATTGTATTTAACATTTGATTTCAGTTAATATCGTATTGACGAACATTCTTCTTAAGATATAGAAGAATATAAAAGAACGTGTTCCGGGAAAATTTCATAGTTTAAACATCTCTAATACATCATTAATCATTATATATTAATCATGCATCTCGGTTTATGATTGTTGCAAAGGATAAACGAACAATAATGTTTTCTTCTTTTAAACGAAATATTATATACATGCATAACGTTGAAGACGATTAATTCATTTTAGTGGAATAAGTTTTGTAATTTGTATAAGAACATGAACATCAACTTATTAAACCTTCATCTTCAAGAAGAGTTTTCGATAATTTTATTAGAATTGCGTACAGAATTATTACTTTACGATCATACTGTCTTTTTTAATTAGACTACATCTAGAAAAAGTATATTGCAACAATGTAGTCACCGTAATAACGTATAATCTAAAAAATAAATATTCATATAATTTTTCTATATTTAATTTTACACAATTTCTCTCATACTAATGATACATCTGCTGGAACGAATTATTTACAAAACTTATTTCAGAGCTTAGAATGACCTTAATTCATTCAGCGTACCGAACTGTTACGAAAGAAAAGATGGAAATAAACAGTATATTGCGCTAAATGCAAGTTTAAAATATTTGCATACTTACTTTTATGACGAGTGGATAAATCGTGATGATAATAAAACGCCAACAATTTTGTTCTTTCAGGTTTTCGTTTCGAATGCGAAAACACAATACGAAATTCAGAAAGATTCCCAAAATCAAAAAATTTATGCGCTGCCGATTACGAAGTAGTTGTGTCCCTGCGCCCGCTGAACGACACGATTGAACGAATACCTTTTACCGAGGTCTGGAATGATTGAACAGAAAATATAATTTCATTAAAATGTAAAGTAATTTATCTTAGTTAATTATAAAAAATTTTCGCAAATTTTTCAAGTTTCCAAAACACGATTTAAATAATTTTAATTACTAAGTGAAACGATAATGACGTCAGTGATGATAATAGTGATAATGGTAACAATGATGATAGTAGTGATATGAAGCGCGGGAATGTAATCAAGCTCGTGTAATGTGACGGTAACAGAAATTCATCCTCTATTTACATAAAAAGGAATTGAATTAGTAAAGTTGATAAACCATTGGAATTATTAAACAAAAAGCTGATCACTGTTATGTATGAAAGGAAAGATTGTAATTTGTGTGAAAATTCTTAAAAGTTTTTAGGAACAATATATAAACTGTAGAAACATTGAAATAGCTTATAATTATTAATAAACAAAATTACTTGAAAATGCCTGGATATAATCAAGTTTTAATGCTTACTATCTATTGTATTTGCTATGTACTGTATTATTATTATATACTATACTATATACTGTATTTACATTAGAGGAAAATTAGTTAAAAGACAAACAAAATAGTATGATAAATGCATTTTGATAAAAGTTACAAACATCTTACTACTTTAAAAAATTAAAAATCTTATTGATTATAATAAAGCAACAAATTGTATAATAATTGTAGAAGATAGAGTAATTAAAGTACATTTATTATAATAGTAAATTAGAAAAAATAGTGTATAGTAGCAAGGCATTAAGTAGCAAAACTTGTAAGATATATTGCAACATATGTTGACAAATTGGAGAAAAATATATGATTTAAATGTAATGTGTAAAGACTTTACACACTTATGATACAAAATTTACATGCATATAGCACTCACTAGAATATAATGAAGCAAACGTTATATGTATAGTAAAACTAGTCTATAGAATCAATAATTTATTTCTTATATGTTGTATACTAAATTATTTCTATATTTTTCGATAATAAAAATACCTTAAATGTTAAAACATAGTATTAAGTGACATAGGTACAAATGTAAAAAAAATAATGAAATTTCATTCTAATGCACAAATGCAGTTTTCCATACTTGCATTAACTATGTAACATTTTCTTGTATGTTTAAACAGGCAAAATTTCTACCAAGAATTTGCAAATACTTCATATTTAAAATTACAATTTTGCAAAATGATAAAACAAGTTTCCTGAAAACATTATTATTATATATTAACCGACAAATATTATCAGATTAAATCAACTGAACAATATTAATTGACATAATAATTAACAAATATTATAGATCCTATTATATCAGATGAAAAGAAAAAATTATTAACAAATATACATTACTTAACAAAGCACTATATTTGCAGAATGCAAAAAACTGATGATATACAAAATAATAAACATTCAACAATTTAAAACATATGTATCGTTACACTTAAACAATTATGAAATTAAATTACTTTAGCAATTTTGTAGTCTACTTATGAAAAAAATGTGATAATGATATTAAATGTATTACAAGGAATAAGTTAGAGAAAAAGAAACAAATTTAAAAATTAAAGTTAAAAAAATTTTAAAGTAAACAAAGATACAGAAAATCGAACATAATTTTAAAATTAAAAAGAAATATAATTAAGAAGCCATTAATGTAATGTAAAGGGTAAGGAAAAATAAAAAGAATAAATTAAAAGACACAATTTAATATCTTTATATTAAAAAATCTATTATTCTATCACATAATTAGTTTTTACACAGAGTATTTTAAAGTAAGTATTAAATAAGATAACCATTAGAAAGTAAAAAATGCAAAGAAATATAAAGATTTTTATTTAATACTTTTCATAAGGTAAAATTTATAACATAATATTAACTCTTTAATAAAAGATAATGCATTTTCATATTTTACTACTTAAATGAAAACTCTCTACAATGCTGTAATGTAATAAAAGTTTCAAGTTTTCCACGTAATTTTTTAATGTTTTCCACTTTCAAGCAGTTTTATATATTTACCTTAAAACACGCTACATAAAAATTTTTCTGAAATATTTAGCAATTAAAAACTACTAAAACCAAAAAACAATAAAAATTTATGAGCAAATTATAACATAATAAACCATTGTTACATAAAAATAATTCATAAATATATTACTAATTATTTGATATCACATTTTAAGATTAGATTGAAAAATGTAAAAGTTAATAGAATTTATTTAAGAAATTAAAAAATATAAGTTTACTTATTTGTACTGGATGTAACAAAATATTAACATCATTTTTGTATTAAATATTCAGTTTTTATATTAAACAAATAGGTAGCAAGGAATAAATAAAAATTTATGTAATACCTGTTGAAATGTCGATATTAGTAAGAAACAACAGTAAAATGTCAAATTTTGTAAATTTAGTAAAGTTATATTCAAGGAAAAGCAGCTATGTGATACATACAATGTCGACAGTAAAGCTGCAGTTAAAAGCCGAATTAATAAAAGGCTGAAGAATGTCTGAAAGAAGAAAAATATGTACAGATAAAAAACTTGTCAAACACTATATTGACATTAAATAAAATAATAGTACTAAAAATCAGATTAAAATATTGAAATTGTTGGAAGATTAAATATTGAAAAATACAAAAATACAATATTTTACAGCAAAATAATTGAGATAAATAAATTTAGGAATTATTCAAAAAGAGAAACAATAATAAAATAACTAACACTATGCAAAATTAATAGATAATATAATAATAAAACTCATATGTAAAAATGAAATTATTACACAAAGTATCTTTTCTAGTGACCAATGCATAGAAGTACTATAACTAACAAGGTAAAAGTATTATTCATATTTATTAAATGTACAAGAAAAGAAAAACTATTTTAGTCTAAAATCTCAAAATTACCACAATTACAAAAATGAAGTATAATAAAAAAAAAGTAATATCTGCAATAATAATGGCAATAATAGTTTTATAAATAATTCTATAATGATGATGATAACGACAATAAGGATGATAACAGTCACGGCGACGGTGACGACATTATGATGATGTAAATGATGACAGTGGTGTAATGATGGTGGCAACGGCAAAGATACATTCATATTAGTGTAAATGTAAAACGTGTATATATATGAACTATATAATATAAGATATTTGTTTTCTTAAATCAAAATATTGTCATTAAAAGTAATGAAGTAATAGTTACAATAATAATTATAATAATTGTAATCATAATAGTAACTGTTTAAATACTACGTGTTACGATGTTACTGTTCGTAGTATTGTTTTAATGTATCAAAATATAATTTATAAATGATATATTGACCTTTTTCTTCGAGCCACTGAGAAAGTCCTTATACATTTCCGAGCGAAGATATCTGGAGTAACTATCGCTTTTCATCAGATGATAAACGTGTGCCTAAAATTTAATAGCACGGAACATTTTCTTATTACTTTTCCATTGTCATTATTTCTAAGCCTGTATTACACTAAATTTTTTTGGTCTAAGTATTTCAATATTTCTTTTCAACTTGAATATCTTTGTACTGAATCTTTTTAATTGTAACGAAAATTTTTTGTTTGGAACTTGTACCGCTGCTATGTCGAAACACCATCGATCTGGTTTATGTAAATTCTTCTTCGTTATCTCATAAGATTGAGAATCGACGTTAATTGGACAACTAGCATCAGGACCCAAATACTCATTCCAAATTTCGTTTACTTTATTCTGAACTTCTTTTTGCGGCAATGTTTTCAATTCCTGTACAGCTTCCCAAAATCTATGTACATGAACGAAAAGTTTGTGTTTTCAATTTATATTTAGATTTTATTTTAATGCACTAAAGTTATATTGACTCACTTTAGGTTTTCACCACTGAACTCTTTATCCAAAAATCGTGTAAACTGATCTCTACCAATGGGATCCTGTAACAATTCTTGGAGGCTAAATGCCCATCTCTTTACTCTTCTTGTCGATACTTCTTTGCTATTTAAAGGAACTTAAATTTATTATCTTTGTAATGATTAAAACAATATGACAAAATTAAAAAATATACATACGCTAATTTTTCTTGTTCCCACATTTCAGAATTATCTGATATCCATGGATTCGTGAGTTCGGGTTGTATAAAAAAAGGATCATACTCTACGTACTGCTCAAAATATGCAATCAGACTAAAATAATTACAAGCAAAAATTTATAAAAATAAGATATGTAGTTTAAAAAGTCAATATTACTCGAAGTAAATTAATTATGTATACATATAACATTACGCATTTTAAGTAAAAGACTTAACAATAACATATAATAATATTCAAAAATAATATTTACTTACGCCTCGGAGACCTTTGAAACCTTTGTGTTTGATCTGTCTAATCTAGCTTTTAACACTTCGATTTCTTTATTTAATGCTTCTATTGAAGAAACTGTACATGACTCTAAATGCGAAGAAATGTTAGTATTGGTTATACCTAGTTGTATGTGCATACTTGGCTTTGAAATTGGTTTATAAGTACGACATGCTTTCTTGATATCCAATTCTGTTGTATTAACACATCCAGGCTAAAACACATTAAAAAATTATCAAGAATTGTACAAATTTTGTATAAAGTTTTATTTGTATAAACAAATTATTACCATTGGTCTATATACATCCCAAAAAGCTCTTTCTTGACTATCCAATACCTTCCTTTCTAATTTATCTCTTTTTTTATCAACTTTACTTTGTGCTTCTGCTTGCATAAAGATCACTTCCCATTTCCTTGAAAACATTTTCTGTAGTTTAGCCAAATTCTCAGCCTCATAATCTGCTAATTCTAAACGAGTTTTGTTTTGCATTGTTCGTTTGCATAAATAAACAGCTGCAATGCAAATTAACAAATCTACTGTGATGGTTTTTAATTCCACTGAAAAAACAATTTTCATACCATAATCAGTATTTTCTGGTTCCCAACAATTTGATGGCCAAAAATATGGTGATTGAAATCTGTAGAAAGTACTATCGTTTTTTACGGTAAGGCAGTGGTCATCGATAGGGAAAAAATATCCATGAGATGCCATAAGATGTGCAACATGAAGTGCCTCTATTGTATTAATATATCTCTAATTAGTTAAAATTAAATATAATTTTTCGTACAAATATTGTTTATGTTTAATATTTTAATTGTACCTTGATCATCTATAACCATAGTCTTCATCATCCATAATATCAAATCTGTACCTAAAGTAATAAAAAATTAATCAATTAAATTAGTGTTACAGTAATAAGTAAAAGAAAAGATATATCAAGTAAGTTTACAATATATTACCAGTAAAGACGGAAGGCGTTTTTGTCATAAAATTCTTTACTGTTTTTACTGGAACACCTGTAACTTCATCTGACATTTTTTCTATCATAGCTTCCATCTAAAATGCACAAATATATAAATTACAAAACAAAAATTGACAACAGTAAACTTGATTTAATATCTTAAGGAAATGTTATATAAATAAAATTAAATAAAAAAATTGCAGTATTTATTACCTTCTGGTAGACAAGATAATTGGGTGTATCTTCGGCACATGAGGCAGTGATATGATATGTAGGGCTACTTGGAGACTTGTCAACTCCTTCACCATTTTGATTGTTACATTGATTTATTTGATTATCTCTATTTCTGTACCGATCTGTTGTTCCTCCAATATCACTGTTTTCACCTGGTTTTCGGCGGCATGCCGATTGTTCAGAATTCATAGTTACCATATCCACACTAAACAAATATTTCATAAAGAAAAATCTTAAGTGAGTTATTGAATATCTACAAATTTAATAGCTTTGAACACAATTGATTGAATTCATTACTTTTAAATACAATATTTTAAATAATAAATCTTACAAAAATGAAATAAACTGTCATAAATAAAATTTTATAACAAAATTTTATAATATTAATATAAATAACATTTGTAGGAAGCATTAAATAAACATACTACTATTTTAAGGCAAAAATATTCATTACCAAACAAAGTTAGATGTGTTCTATTTTTAGTGTTATAAGAAATACTTTCAGCAAATGATTTTGATGGCTTTTATATGTACTTTATATTTAATACTTTATATTCTCTATTGCAAACATTCTTCAACATCATAAATATGAATAGCAGAAAATAATATATAATATTTCAAGAGAAATAAAAGTATCAAATTTAAAGGCTAAATTAACCAGAATTAAACTGCAATTTGTAATTGATATTTGTCCATAATAATG